TGTGGATGAGTGGGGTGCTCAGGCCAGGTTAAAAGGGCAACGCCCAACAGCAACACCAGCCCCCCACCCCCCAACTCCGAGCGCACACTCACAATCTCGTAATCGCCAGATTCGTAACCCGTTCTCCTAGCCCTGCTGATCCGGTCAGAGAAATCTGCAAAGACAAGAGACAGTGTTTATTGTTTCCAGAGACAACTCCTGCCAGATTTACACAACCCCTCCTACCCAGATTATGATCTCTTCCATCCGACATAAGATACTAAACCTTAAACACACGGACAAACAGATTCAAGAACAGCTTCTTCCTCGCTGTTATTAGACTTTGAAACAAACCTCTCAAATTTTAAATGTAATGTTGATCTCACGAGAGAGAAAGGAAGAGAGAGAGAGAGAGAGAAAGGAAGAGAGAGAGAGAGAAAGAAAGAGAGAGAAAAAGCGCATGCGAGAGCACGCAAGTGACAGAATGAGAGAGAGTGACAGAATGAGAATGAGAGAGTGACAGAATGAGAATGAGAGAGTGACAGAATGAGAATGAGAGAGTGACAGAATGAGAATGAGAGAGACAGAATGCAAGAGAGAAGAGAATGAGAGAGAGACAGAGACAGAGAAAGAGAGAACATGTGTGTGGGGGGTGGGATGAGAGAGACAGAGAATGGGGTGAGGTATGGAGGTAGGGTCCAGGACACACTCCACTGCCGAAGCTTACCGATATCCTTGGTGCTGACCCGCTTGTCCTTAAACTTGTCGTAAGAGGCGTTGGGATTGACAACGATACGTTCCACACTGTCACTGTTCAGTTCCTCCTGCAGGGCGATGGGGCCGGAGGGGAGCAAAATCACACACTGTCAGATATCCACAGGCCCTTTTCTCTGTCTCCCACCTCTCCCTCCCCGGCCGCACAGGCACCCACTCAGCAGTAGCAGTGACCCAGGAGGGTGTTAAAGCAACGGTGCACGAAGGTGAGGTGGTGGTGGTGGTGGGGGTGGGGGCCCTGCTATTTGACTGCAGCGGGCCTCGCATGGTGATGGGAAGCTCTTTAGAGCTAATGAAGGCACCCTCCCTCCCCCAAAGCAATGGCTTCACTCAGTCATCATTGCCCTGTCTCCTCACCCTGCTCCCCCGGTTCAGCCCCCCCTCCTCGAGCCTGTCCCACAGGAACAGCAGGAGGCCATTCAGCCCCCTCCC